TGTTTAGATTTTTAAGAAGCCTCCAAATTTTTTTCCAGAGTGATTGCACCAGTTTACATTCCCACCAGCAGTGTATGAGGGTTCCTTTTTTCCCCACATCCTCGTCAACACATGTTGTTGGTGGTGTTTTTGATGATGGCTATTTCTAACAGGGGTGAGGTGGAATCTTAGTGTGGTTTTGATTTGCATTTCTTTATGGCAGAGGTGATGAGCATAAAGGTGAGGTGATTTTAGGCCATTTGAATTTCTTCTTTTGAAAAAGTTCTGTTTAATTCAGTTGCCCATTTCTTAATTGGTTCATTGATTTTAGGAGAGTTTAGTTTCTTAAGTTCCTTGTATATTCTGGTTATCAGTCCCTTGTGTGATGTATAGCTGGCAAATATTTTCTCCCACTCTGTGGGTGGTCTTTTCAGTTTAGAGGCCATTTCTTTTGTTGTGCAGAAACTTTTTAATTTTATGAAGTCCCATTTGTCCTTCCTTTCTCTTAGTTGCTGGGGTTCTATTGAGTAAGTCTTTTTCTATACCTATTTGTTCCAGAGTGGTTCCTGAAACTTCCTGTAGTAACCTTAGAGTCTCAGGTTTAATATTTCGGTCCTTGATACATTTTGAGTTGATACTAGTACAGGGTGATAAACATGGATCTAGTTTTAGTTTCTTGCAGATGGATAACAACTTCTCCCAGAAACATTTGTTGAAGAGGCTGTCTTTTCTCCATCATATATTTTTGGCACCTTTGTAAAAATGAGGTGGGTATAGTTGTGTAGATTTATATCTGGGTCCTCTATTCTGTTCCACTGGTCTTCATGTCTGTTTTTCTGCCAGTACCATGCTGTTTTTATTGCTATTGCTTTGTAACATAGTTTGAAGTCAGGTATTGTGATACCTCCAGCATTGCTCTTTTTGCTGAGTATTGTCTTGGCTATTCGTGGTCTCTTGTGTTTCCAAATGAACGTTAGGGTAGATTTTTCAATCTCTGTGATGAAAGTCATTGGGGTTTTGATGGGAATTGCATTAAACATGTAGGTTACTTTCAGTAGTACAACCATTTTTACTATGTTGATTCTACCAATCCATGAGCATGGGAGGTCTTTTCACCTTCTATAGTCTTCCTCGATATCTTTCTACAGGAGTTTGTAATTCTCCTTGTAGAGGTCATTCACATCCTTTGTTAAATTTACTCCTAGATATTTGAATTTTTTTGAGGCTATTGTGAATGGAATTGTTTCCATATATTCCTTCTCAGTTTGTTTGTTATTGGTATATAGAAAAGCTAAAGATTTTTGTAAGTTGATTTTGTATCCTGCCACTTTACTGTAGCTGTTTATGATGTCTAAGGGTTTTAGGGTAGAGTTTTTTGGGTCTTTAAGGTATAGGATCATATCATCTGCAAATAAGGATATTTTGACAGTTTCTTTACCTCTTTGTATTCCTTTTATTTCTTCTTCTTGCCCAATTGCTCTGGCTAGAAATTCCAGTACTATGTTGAATAGGAGTAGGGATAGTGGGCATCCTTGTCTCATTCCTGAGCTTAGGGGGAATGGTTTCAGTTTTTCTCCATTAAGTATAATGTTGGCTGTAGGTTTGTCATATATAGCCTTTACAATGTTGAGGTACATTCCTTCTATTCCTAGTTTTCTTAGAGCTTTTATCATGTAGTGGTGTTGGATCTTGTCAAAGACTTTTTCTGCATCTATTGAGATGATCAAGTGGTTTTTGTCTTTTTTTCTATTGATGTGCTGTATTACATGTATAGATTTGTGTATGTTGAACTGCCCCTGCATCCCTGGGATGAAGCCAACTTGGTCATGGTATATGGTCTTTCTGATGTGTTGTTGGATTCAGTTTGCCATTATTTATTGAGGATTTTTGCATCGATATTCATTTAGGAAATTGGCCTGTAGTTCTCCTTTTTGGAGGTGTCTTTGTCTGGTTTTTGGATGAGAGTAATATTGACTTCATAAAATGAGTTAGGCATTGTTCCTTCCCTTCTTATTTCATGGAACAGTTTAAGGAGAGTTGGTATTAGTTCTTCCTTAAACATCTGATAGAATTCAGAAGTGAATCCATCAGGTCCAGGACTTTTCTTTTTTGGGAGGATCTTGATGGCAGCTTCAATTTCTTTTTGTGTTATATATCTAGTCAGGTGATTAATGTCATTTTGGTTCAGTTTTGGGTAGTTGTAAATTTCTAGAAATCTGTCCATTTCTTCAAGATTTTCAAATTTATTAGAGTATAGACTCTCAAAGTAGTCTCTGATGATTTCCTGGATTTCTGTGGTGTTTATTGTTATCTCCCCTTTTGCATTTCTGATTTTACTGATTTGGGTTTTTTCTCTTATTTTAGTCACATTTGCCAGGGGTATGTCAAACTTATTTATGTTTTCAAAGAACCACCTTTTTGCTTCATTGATTCTTTGTATGGTTTTGTGTGTGTGTGTGTGTTTCTATTTCATTGATTTCAGCCTTTATTTTAATTATTTCTGTCCTTCTACTTGTTTTGGGATTTACTTGTTCTTGTTTTTCTAGGAGCTTCAGCTGTAGTGTTAGGTCATTGATTTGAGATCTTTCTGTCCTTTTACTATATGCACTCATAACTATAAACTTTCCTCTTAGGACTGCCTTTGCTGTGTCCCATCGGTTCTGGTAGGTCGTGTTTTCATTATCATTAACTTCCAGGAACCTTTTAATTTCCTCTTTTATTTCATCAATGACCCATTCGTAATTGAGCAATTTGTTGTTCAGCTTCCAATTGTTTGCATGATTTTTACTGCTGTTTTTGTTGTTGATTTCTAGTTTTAATGCATTGTGGTCGACAGAATGCATGGTATTATTTCTATTTTCTTATATTTGCTGAGGCTTGATTTGTGCCCTAAGATATGATCAATTTTGGAGAGGGTTCCATGAGCTGCTGAGAAAAATGTATATTGTGCAGAAGTTGGATGAAATATTCTGTAGACATCAACTAGGTCCATTTGATCTGTGGTGTGATTTATTCTAGATTTCTTTATTGATTTTTTGTTTGGATGCCTATCGATTGGGATAGGGGGGTATTAAAGTCCAGCTCCCATTGTTTGGAGTTATATACGTTTTTAGGTCCTTCAGAGGATATTGATGAAGTTGGGTGCATGTGTTCTATGCATATAGGTTGATAATTTGTTATTTCCTTTGGTTAAATTTCCCCTTTATGAGTAGGAGTTTCCTTCTTTAGGCCTGTTTGATCAATAGTAAGTTTCGAAGTCTACTTTGTCCAAGATAACTATTGCGTACCCCCACCTGTTTTCGGACCATTGGTTTGGTAAACCTTTCTTCCAGCCTTTCACCCTCAGCCAGTGTCATTCCTGTGATGAGTGGGTCTCCTGCAGCAGTAATTGTTGGGATCTTCCTTTTTTAATCCAATTGCCAATCAATGTCTTTTATGGAGGAATTTAGGCCATTAACATTCAGTGGTATTATTGATAAGTACATGGTTGGATTCCCGTCATGTAGTTGTCTCTGTTGATTAAGGGTTTGAGTTGTGTGCAGCTGAATCAATGTTACTCTTTACTTTCTTGCCTTTTCTTTTCACTGTGTTTGCTATTGGCCTGCCCTTTTCAGGTTTTGTTTGCTGTTCATTTTCTGTGTGCAAATCCTTGGGAGAATCTTTTTAGTCGTGGCTTCTGTGGTCACATATTGTGTTTAGTTTCTGCTTATTCATTGGGGAAGACTTTTATTGCGTCCGTCTTATTTGGAATGATAGTTTTTGCTGCGGCGGTAGAGATCCTAGGATTAAAATTATTTTCATTGCAGTGCCGTTGAAGACCTCACTCCATGCTCTTCTGTTTTAATGTGTCTGTTGAGAAGTCTACTGTGATTTTGATGGGTTTACCCTTGTATGTTATTTTGTTTTTTCTCTCTGTACAGCCTTCAATATTTTTTGTCTAGTCTCTGTACTTGCTGTTTTAATGTATAACTATGTCAGTGGAGTAGTTCTATTTAGTCAGGTCTTTGGTGTTCTTGAGTCTTCCTGTACCTGAATGGCACATTTCTCTACATTTGAGGAAATTTTCTGTTATTATTTTGCTTGAATATATTACTCATTAATTTGGCTTGCAGCCTCTTCCCTTCTTCAATGCCATGATTTCTCAGGTTTGGTCTTTTGATTGAGTCAGTTAGTTCTTCATTTTTTTTCACAGTTCTTGAGTTGTTTAATAGTTCTTCAGTTTTCTTTTAATTGCCTTTCATCTTCAAGTTCTGAGATTCTGTCTTCTGTTTTTTCTATTCTGCTGCCAATGGCCCTCCATTTTGTTTTGTTATTTCTGTTTCATTCTTTTTTCTGAGTTTTTTCGCTCTTAATTTTTTTCAATTTTTGCCCTAATTCTTTTATCTTCTGTTTATGGTGTTCTGTGTTTCAGTTTGGTATTTATTTAGGGCTTCTATTAGTTTCACTATTTGTTTCTAGGTTTTCCCATTTTCTTTGTTTTGTTGTCTTGGAATTAGTTGAGTGTCTCCTGTATGTTTTGGTTGGACCATGTCTAATGACATCTCTATGAAATTCTCATTAATTACATGTATGATTTCTTCTTCATTGGTGTTCTTGTGGGCTTCACTGGTTCCCTTGGTATGTTTATCTTTGTTTTTCTGGAGTCTGGATCTGGGTATCTGTTTTTCTTCATTTTGCTCTAAATCTGTACTACTTTATTTTAGAGGGAGAATGGTTTTCCCTCCCTTTTTCTTCTTCCCAAATTCCACTAGGTACCATTTCTATCCCTGGTTATGGTAATGTAGTATTAGCTGGGAACAATATTCATACTAACAAACAAGAAGAGAAGGATTAAAAAACAAGAAAAGAGATGGAAAAGTAAAAGGAAGAGAGAGGAGAAGAAAAGAGAAAAAAAAAAAAAGGAAACAAAAAGTGGAGAGATTGTGGATGATCAAACAGCACAGCCAGGCAAACCAATGCCTTAAGAAGGGAAAAAAAATGAAAAATCACCAGTTCTGGAACTGTAGAATTGCAGTGCGTACGGTTGTTTTGATGTTACTCCTTTAGCATCCAGACCTGAATGTGTCTCTCTTAGGCAGGTTTGGAGCTCTCCTGTGGTGGGTGAAGATGGGCTGTCGGGATCTGGGCCTACAGGTGGAGGCCTTATGTTGTGGTGAATTAGTTGGCCTTTGGAGCGTGGGCCTTGTGTGCCTGAAGGGCACGGGATGGCGGAGTGAGATCCTGCATGTCTGGAGATCGTGCAGACCTGTGCAGTGTTGAGGGCACAGCCCAGTGAGATCGTGGAGCCGTTGTGTGCAGGCCCTAGGGGGCACAGCAAGTGGAACGGAGTATCATGTGTGTGGATCCCCAGTGCTTGGCAAGCCTTAGGGCACAGGCTGCAGAGTGTACTGTGCAGGCTGGAGGCCCTCTGGGGGCCCAGTGGGAATGGAGAACTGAATCACTGTATCTGTGAATCCCCGGCTTGGCAGGCCTTAAGGGCTC